CTACTTCATAATTCCATCTTCAATCTCCAAATGATGAAATTACATATGTGGACTGTCATGTTGACCTATTAACTAGTTTAAAAAATAAAATAAAAGCTACCTATTAGTACAAGTTTAATTCTGATAAAATTTCAGAAATCTACTTTAAGGGAGGAGGAAAAAGCAAACAAACCATTTGGGAGTGAGGTTCTTTAATAGCATTAAAATACACGCGTTACAATGGTCCTGTGACCTCCTTCCTTCCCTCCCATCCACTACAGGTCTACTTCCTGCACAGTCCAGGAGTGATGTCTTAGTCCTGCTGGTGACAGTTCAGTACATGCCCTGATCTGGGGCTGCCCCTCCCCCACCGTCCTGCATTTATAACCAGAACAAGTGCCCATATCTGTAAGATTTCATAAACGTCTTACTCACTAGACAAAGACAACCACCTTATAAGCTACAGAATACTGGAATGATAAACACGCTTGCCTTCTCCTACAGCTAGACACTACCATTAGATGGAATCTATTCTCCTGTTCAGAATATTTGCTAAGGTCTGACCCAGAATGGAAGCAAGCAGTTGCCAAAATGGCATTCCATGGATCTACAATGACAGAGTAGGCATATGGACACATGCAGTCGGCTAGTTATGGACCAGAATTTATGTGACTACGCTCAGTAATCAGAATCTTGAGTTCTAAGTCAATATTAATTTACAACACTGATCAATAGACAAACGAACTAAGATAATGGACTCCAAAGAATGCCCCAAGTGTATCTTTAATGATACCATGCCGGGCATAACTTACAAAACAAAACCTCTGATCTAGGATTCTGTCCTCTCACTAAGTGACTTTTCTCACCTATGTCTTGTGTACAATTCTTGCTGGAAACATATTTCTTACATCACAGTATTTGGTTTTTTTGATTTTTTCGAGACAGGGCTTCTGTGTGTAGTTTTGCGCCTTTCCTGAACTCCCTCTGTAGTCCAGGATGGCCTCGAACTCACAGAGATCTGCCTGCCTCTGCCTCCCGAGTGCTGGGATTAAAGGTGTGCGCCACCACCGCTGGTTTACATCACAGTATTGGGTACCTGATGTAAATTTATTTTTTACAGTGTATCTATACACACAATATACAGAAACAATAATAAACAACTTTTCCTTAGATGTTTTTTGCTACTATATGCCATAATTATGTTACTTGTAAACCAGCTGCGGTAACAAATGCCTATAATCCCAGACTCAGGAAGTGGAGGTGGGAGAGCTCACAGGACTCAAACAACCAAACAAATTTATCTGCAACACATGGTACACTGCCTACCTTAACACTACATTAGCTCTCCTTGTGTCTAATTCACAAGCTTATTTAATGTCTGCAGAATCAGGCACCAGGCACCAACATTTTTTGTTCTGTTTTGTCAGAAATGGCAATACTTATTCCTGCTGTGTGCTTACTGTTCAGTTTCAGGAACAAACACTAGGTAGACCTCAATCCCCACACTGCCTCTGCTTTACAGGGCTGTTAGGGAAACTAACTGAGGTGTATGCAGGCATTCTGAGACTGCTGTAACCCAGTGTGTGAGATTATCAAGTAAATACACAGGGCAGCAGCTACTCAAAAACTTCAGACAGCTGTTTTCAATATGGTAATGTGATGCAACAAGCAAAAAAATTCATTTTCTAAAATATTTACAGCAAAAGTACAGACAGGGTTCCTCTGTGTAACAACTCTGGCTGTCCTGGAACTCACAGAAATCCTCCTGCCTCTGCCTCCCAGACTGCCAGGATTAAAGGCATGCGCCACCACGACTGGCATAAAATTATTTTAAATATAAGATTTTTAAAATATCTAACACACTTTGTAAAAAGGAAACACCTCAGATCAAGATGGAACATGCTGCAGACCTAAGTATAATAAAACCAGAAAACTATGGACATCTTTATAAAATCTTGGAAGGGAGGTCTTTATACAAAACAGACTGAGCAACTTTACAAAATAAAAAAAAAAAAAAATCACCGTTTTTCTTTACAACCACCTACATACATTAAATTTATGATCAATATTTGCCCGCATAAAGAGTGGTTTTTTTTTCAAGAATAAAAAAGCTATTACCAGAAAATGTAAAAGCAATCACAAAGTTAAGAATAGCTTCAGCGTGGAAGATAAAACATCATCACACCCTCACTGGTGGGAATATACTCTGACAAATTTCCAGGAAGGCACCAATGACAACATGCTTTCAAACTCTCAAGTTTGTATGAGCAGCCTAGAAATCCTACCAGTTTCAACAGATTCCAAGGAGGGGGGCAGGGGATGAAGGACGGACCAGTACATATAGTGGGGAAAAAGGATATTTATACAGTGGGATACCAGTCAAGTAAATAAATTAATAAAAATGGTGATATAGATCATTTTAACATAGGAAGGTGTTTACAAATACTTAGACGATTATATGGTTATGATCTCTTTTGGCTTAAAGCAAACAAACAAAAAATCATACAAACTGCGAAAAGACCTACCAGAATGTTAATGGTGGATCAGGCAGCTGGCTCACACAGGGCTTCGATGACTTTAAGTAAAAAGCACCCTCTTAGCAGACAGCCCCATAGGCACCTACCTGTCCAAACCTGGGCAGAGCCGGAGTGTAGGAGCCCTTCTTCAAAGCAGACCTGCCAAGACCACTAGGTCCTTGGCCTTGAAGGCTGAGAATGGACTCCAGCCTCCTCCCACCCACATTTTCTTAAAAGAATGTCCTTGTGCTGGAATCTAACCAACCATGCAATCTGCACAGGCTTACAATTACAATAAACTCGAAATTTACTATTTGAGCATAGGGCTAATAAATACTGATTCTGTAAAGAAGTTTTGCCTAATTCTTTCTGCTACAACCCTTATACTTTGCCCAATTCTGAGATACTTTGTACAACTTACTATTTAAATGCCTATTACCAAGGAAATCTCTATTCTACAACAGTCTGAGCTGCCATGATGGTCCACTCATGTAAGTGGCTGAGACAAGAGGACGACCCAGAAGTTAGCCTGAGGCCAGTCTGGGGCTCCGGCGAGGACCTGCAGAAGCGCTAGCAAAGTGAAGACGCTCAGTGCTAGACGTGAGAAAGGCAGACAAGAAGGCAAATGGTAACCTACAAAAATAAATCTCCCCCCACCCCACCCCCAAGTGGCTTCGGTTGAAAGTATCCTCCAGAAACAAGCAATTTTCATCATTCTCCCTTTAACTCTGGGTGGAAGATTTATTTCTTCATCACATAGTGTGCTCCCAAGAAAAGACAGCAATTTAAATAAAAGTCGTACATGATTACTGGGCAGTTAGGCAAGGCATCTGTAAGATAATACAACCACTGGACTGGGATTAAAGGAGACTGGGCTCTTTTCTTGGCCCCGTGGAATATGTAATTTTACATAGGCAAAATCACAACCTCTGGGTCTCATTTTCCTCGTTTCTGGAGTGGAGGTTGGGAATTTAAAGAAAAACAAAAAAACAAAAAACCACCCTTCCAGGGCCCCTTTCAGCTGGTGACAGGACGTCAAGTCGCCTTCCACCCTGGAGGAGCTCACTTCAAGTTGTTTTCTGAGCCACACAGCTCACTTAAGGTCCTTAAGCTTCTCTTAAAAAATGCCATGCCCCAACGGTTCTCACTCAGCCCTAGAAATCTAGTCTTGCTCGGAATGAAAAAAAAAAAAAAATCTGTCAAGATGCCCTAACAAAATACTCTTGAAAAGGATTTCAAAAAGATAAAATTGTTGAAGCACAAAGGTAATCATGGAACTCGCTTGTCCACCTTCTTCCCTAACATTTTTTTCTTTGAACAAAAAGGGCACCTTAAAGCAGCAGCAGTACGACACCCAGAAGATGGATTCACTACCTCTTTTTAAAACAATGAGTTCGCGCAGGGAAAAGCTGCTAACATTCAACCATCACTCCAGTGTTTGGAAGGCTCGGGGCGGGCGCGCGGGGAAGGGCTGTTTAGACAGAACTGTCTTTCCCCAAAACAAAATCGGCAGGGCAGGAAAGCGCCGTGACCTCGGAACACGAGGAAAGCCCTCCCGGAGCCGGCCTTCCTCGGTCGGAATCCAAGTGCATTTTCGCGGACAATGTGCCCCAGTGATTAACTCCGCCGTCACACGTCCCTGCAACACACACACACACACACACACACACACACACACACACACACACACACACACACACACACACACA